GGGTGCTTCTCCTAGACAAATATGCTCAATGTATGCTAGGTGGAAGAACTTGGTTTTGTAGACAAAGACGGTACACAAAGTTCTTGTCCCTTGTAGAAACGCATATATTTTGTAGTGTTTGAAGTTTACATTCCCTCCCCAACTGTAAGGTCTTTTTTTGCTTGTAATGGAGAGGAAAACTGGGTGGGAAAATAGGGCAGTTGGGATGGGGGGGTCCTGTCCTGTCTCCTCGAAATAGAAGGGACAGGAGGTGCTACAGAGGAGATGGTATTTTTAGCAGATGACTGGAATTTTATAATGTTAATAAAAGAGCAGTGTGAAATCCATGGCTGATTTGTTTTGTGAAATTGAGGAATGAGAGCAGTAGCTAAACAAACTACAAGTATGGCTTGCCATCATGGTGTTCTTCTATTTTTGCAAATTTTATATTTTTATTGGTTTGTCAAAATGTAACACACAAAAATACAGAGAAAAATGAAAACAATGGGAAATTAGGAGAGGAAAAGGGGAAGAGGAAAAAGTGTAGGGTAAAAGGGAAAAGAAGAAGAAAAGCATTGACTTCCAAGTCCTTTCGACACAGTAGAATAAGGTAATAACACACAACCTTGATTCTTTACTTTTACATAATAACATATACTAGCAATTTCTATAACAACAAACCTATCTAAGCAGCAAAACCTAAAATCAAAGATTCATTTTTTTCCACCATAAGCACAAAGTCCAAAATCTGTTTCAAAGTAGAAAGAAAAATAATTATTTTATTCGGTCAAAGCAGTCAATTTCACCACCCATGGCTAACTCCATCAACTTTTGCAGTCATTCGTCCATTGTGGGAAGGAAAACATCCATTTTTGTTCATAAAAGTGTTCTTGTTGCTGTCAACATATATAGCATCAAAATTCCAGTTCTTTTTCAAGTTCTTTATCCATTAAACCTAAAAGAAAAATATCTGGTTTTATCTTTATATTCATTTAAGAATCTTCTCTATTAAGATGTGAATCCTATTCCAGTATTTCTTTGTTCTCTTACATGTCTACCATATAAAAAGTTCCTTCTTTACATTTACATTTCCAATGTTCATTTGAAGTATCTTTATACATTCTTGACAATTTGTCCAGTGTTAAATACCAAACGTCATCTTATAAAAATGATACAGTGTTTTACATACATAAATTTTCAGTGTCTACAGCCCTATAATGGAGATCTATGGGATTGTAATGCCACCTACTGGTTATATGTATAATTTACAAGCAATATCCACACACGGGGGGGGGGCGAGGGGGGGCGAGAAAATGGGGAGGTATTTTTTTAAAAAAAATATATTAAAATCTCATTCGGAATTACAATATCTTCACTTTGTATTCCATTTATAATTTATGATTATCTATCTCTAGAACCTAGTAATTTGTTTCATGGCAAGATTGCTGGTAGGCAGTGCAAGATGATTCGGAAATCATTGCATGCTACATCATTCACCAGAGCCCGACACTCTGTACAAACCTGTGACCACTAGATAGTAAAGCAGGGTAAATCAACTAGTAGTTTTTCAACTAGGTGGATTTGACCCTGCATCCAATTAGCAAAGATAGAAGGGTGCTTGTTAATTGCTATGGAATCACATGACTGCTGTCTTAAACGGGTGTCTTTATGGTTTAAAGTCTCAAAACGATTTTGAATAAGAGCATCTTGCACCCATGCTTCTAGCAAAAACATATATAATTCCTTCGCTGAGTCCTGATCCAACTCAAAGCAGAGCTACAAATCTTCTCCCGTCCTGCTACACTTTATACCCACAAATTAGAGAAAGTCGATAGCTTATTTGTTGGTCCCCCCCCCCCCCCCCAAATTGCTTCCTGTGGATCTTTATTCTTTTGCAAATAAAATAAGGAAGATTGCACTGCTTGGATTTAAAAACTAAAGCAAAATTGAACCTACCCTCTTAAACTCAACACTGCAAGTTTTACTGCCTGCTGTGAAGTATAGAATCAAAGAAGTGATCAAAGACAGAGCGCACAATATGAAGCTGTGCATTGTGCTGAGCACAGTAGCTCTAGAAAAGCTTTAAGGATGAACCAAACATAGTAGAAAGAAAGAAGTTTTATTAAGGCATCTGACCATATCAAATCAAATTAGAAGATGCTAGTTCCCCTCTTGGGAAAAAAGACCCTTCTATACTTGGTGGACACCACCCCCTGATTCCCAGTGGTCAATTTGTATTCAACCATAGCTAGCTACTTGCCATGAATCTTAGATGTGAGCTTGCCCTCACAACAAGAGGCCTGAGGCAGGTTTCTGGACTGATCATCTTTAGCAAATCCTGGCTCTGTTTCTGCTCGGTTGCCTAGAGTGGGATCTTGTTTCACTCTTGCTGGCTTTCTACTCCCCCAGCACATGCTGGGGGTGGCAGACCAGAAAGATGCAGCAGGAGAGACAATTGGAGACCATGTAATTGTTTCACCTGGTTGGGATGGCAGCAACTGGGCCACCCAATCTCTTCGTGGGAGAGATGGTAGCTAGGGAGCTTCCAAACCTCAATTTGCCTGGATCCCAGATGGAACAGACAGGTGGTGTGACATGGCAGAAGGACACAGCCGGCAACTGGACACGTCTGGAAGGGTCTGGTGAGAACAACCAGCTGTGGATTGGTGAGGTGGATGCTGTTGCAAGGAAGTAGCTAAGAGGATGGAATGATATAAGTACAGTTTAGTGGCTAAAAAGTTTGTAATTGTTTTTTTAAGAGTATCAAAGTAAGTCTTGAAGGATGTTTAAGAAAACATTTTAAGTGGGATTGCATTTATTAATTTCCTTACCGCTTCACCTCTACCTAAATAAAAATTTTAACATTACAAAAACCCATTTAGCAGAAGTGAAACTGAAATTAATACTTCTGCTTTTAAATAATATTCATGCCTCCTGGGCATTTAAACCACTATATTTTTTTTCCACTCTTCAGTAGCAGGGAAGCTAATTTCACTCTGAGTTTAGATAAATATACTAGTGTACTTCTTGAAATAGAAATAAAAAAGATAAGCATTAAATATAAGTTTTCTAATAAAGAAATATAGCAATTCGATTTATTAAAATGGAAAATATCATGTGAGAGCACCATGCTTCAAGGGACACTGACATTAGGGTTTGAGAAATACACATGCTTTAAATCCAATTTTTTTTTTAGTTAACCAGAAGATGTACAGGTATTTAAGGAACTAAAACCAAACTGGTGACTCAAGTATGGTCCTAATTTTAAAAAGAAGCATGCTGGTGCATAGGAGGAAAAAGTGAGAATGAAGCCATCCAAATGGAAAAAAGGTTGACCTGTCCCCTCCCAGCAAGAGCCGTGCCCCCCGCCCCCATTTCCTCCCCCTCATTAGGACTTCTGACCAGCTCTGGCTTTGGGCCAAATCTCAGGTCCTGGCTTTGCATCCCCCATCCTACAGCATGAAATCCATTATTTATGGCAAGTGCTTGTTAGGGTGCATGTATGGGGAGTGGAGTCTAGAAGTAGTCTCTTACTTCTACAGCCCAGTGAACTCAATTCCGCTTCTCCCTTCCTTCTAGCTGCTCGCTCAGAAACCACATCCAGGGGTGCTGAGGCCCAGCCCGTCACTACTTTGCGGATCACAAACCCCAATAAAACCACTGGAAACCAGCAGCACCTACACCGGGAGTTGCTGTTCACCCATCGCAAGTATGGCTTTCAGCTCCAGGCTGCTATTGCTACATAAGCTTTCCAGAACAATTTCTCTCTGGAAGCTCTGGCTTCTGGGGACTTTTGTTGATGTATCCCCTAAGACTTTTGCCGATTGTCTGGGTACTTTCCCCTTGAAACAAATTACAGTTTATTATTGGGAGAAAGCTTGATACCTTTGCTGGAAGAAATATATTTTAATTATTCTAAAAAGGTGGCATTTTATTGCTCAGAAAATTCCATTTGTTTCTTGCTCCTCTAATTCTGTTTACTTTTAATTCGTGTGATATTGTGCAGGTGACACACAGGCACTGCCCCTTACCATCACCAACGCTTCACTTTCCCTGCCACTCTTGTCTGTTATTTCAACTCTGCGAAATATAGCTGTTATTCTGCAAGCCACAAGTAGAGGTTCAAAGCTTTTTTTAGTTTAACACTCGGCCAAACTGCTGTATACCTCTTACCGTGTGTTGATGGGAAGCCACGTTAGTTGGTCGAAGCAAAAAACATCAAAGAAGCTTGCATGTTGAAGACCCAAAAATATGTTCAGTTTTATAACCATATATTTTCATCCACATTATCCATTCTGCCAGCTTTTGCCAGAGCAAAGTTTCTACTCTACATCTTGTACATAAATATTTCAACTGTTTAGGAATCAATGGTCTGCATTTTGAGGAAGAGATGCATGTAATTCTTTTTACCTCCTTAGCAGTGGAGAAGATGTACCAAATATGTACCTCATGGGGAAGTACTTTTCAAAAAACCTGGCATGCTTTTGTGTAAGCTGATCAGACCACTCTGAGCCACCATACAGTTATTATTTGAAGATGAAATGCTCTCTCCTAAGATATCACCAAAATACCAGGGCATCCACAAAGCCTATTAAAATAATAATAATAATAATGTACTTTCTGCAAGAGAGAACCTTAAAAATCATAGTATAAGGTAGCAGAGCAAATATTTTGTTGGAGGTTTAACAGACAAAAACCATTTTCCTTAGTTAACTGTAAGATAAATAGGGTTGGCTGGCTCAAAGACATCCAACCAACGCCTGTGCATAACTGAGGAACTCAATAACCTGGTTTCTAATCCAACACCTTAACCATTACATCAAAAGGTTCTGCAATACAATTGCCATAATCACTGAAGTACCACTGATGCCTAAATGTATTCAAATTGATCCCTTGTTTCAGATGAATATATTTTAACTTGTGTTTTCAGCTTTTTCTCCCACATTGCTAGAAATAATGAAATTGTGTGAGAAAAGCAGCAATGAGCAGGGGGTCATTCCTTATCCACATTTATCTATTTTGTGTGTGTGTGTGTGTGTGTGTGTGTGGGTATGCATGCACACTTGTGTTAATATAGCATTAATAATATATGTGTCTAATAGGTCCTTCAATTGTATAGTATCTGCCTGTTTCTAATCTATGAATGTAGTTTCACCCCCTCCAAAACTTCACTTATCTGGGATGGCTACAGAGGCCAAATAATGCCCTTTCTACCAACAAGATCCTCCCAGTGCCAACCCTATAACCACCACCCTGAGAGTAAGACACCCCCCCCCCCAAATTACAGTCTGGACTTACTCCTGACTGGACATGCATAGGATTACATGAATTGTAACTTGACTCATATTCCCAGCCCATGAAACACAGCGGGAGTCACCTTTCTTTCCTTCGCTGGCCCCTAGCCAGACTGGGCTTTGATCAACAGCAGGTTTTTCAAGCCTCATTTGCTGTCCTATTTCTTGAGGTCTAAATAGAAAGGACAGTTTTACATGGATGTCTATTCTGCTACTTCTCTATAGAAGGAGGAAGACAACCGAATTCTCATATACCCTGTTATTTTGCTTCAAACTTGCTCAGTTACTGAACCCAGCAGTAGATAAACAAGAGCTAAAATGTAAAGAAATGGTGGTAGGACATTTTTTTTCTTCCCACCCCTCATATACTCCATTTTGTGTAAATAACAGACCTCTCTATCCTCCTGCTCTCTTTTTCTCTTCCTTTGATGACCATCAGAGGATTTGTTTAGCAGAGGCAGCAGGAACCATTTGCAATCATAGACTTTCATCAACTCTGCCTGCTTGTTAATGCTATATAATGGGGGGGGGGGGGGGGGGGGGGGGGGGGGGGGAAGATGGGGAGCTGTCTTTTTTTTTGAGATTTTTGAGGTAATAGTTGTCCCAAAAGTGCTTTTCCAAAGACAACTGGATTTTCTTTGGGTTTTTTTATCTGAAAAAAAAAATCACTTCTCATCCGAGAATTTTCTTCAATTTGTGAAGAAAAAGTCCAGTTGCCTTTAGAAAAGCATCTTTGGGGTGTCCTTTTATTTGCAAGTTAATTCATCTACTTGGTGGTGGTATCATCTAGATTAGAGCATCTGGCAGACACTCTTACAAACCCAAAAAGAGTCTGGCAATGGAGGTAGACCGGTGGTGGCAGGTAATGGATGGAGCAGTAAGCGATCACTTATGAACATTCTGAAGCTAGCATCAAACTTGGAGACTCCATTGTAGGCTAGATTAGGGTAGTTGAAAAACCATTCTGGATGAAGGCAACAGAATGCCACTTGCTTCTTGTTTTTAAGAAATTTGACACATCTAAGGAACCATCAGGACAATTCAAGGGAGTTGACATCATGTTGGTAAATGAGGGGTTTAGATACCTGAAGATTCTGATCGGTTTACAATCTTAGTGACAAGGTGATCTCTGAGTGCATATGATTGAAGGGAAAAAAATCCCATGTAAGATGACCTGTTCTTGATTTCCTTCCGACCTCAGCTCTGTTTATTCAGAAATAAATCTTGATCTTTGAATGGTAGCTGTACTCAAACATTAAATGTACATGTAGCAGTCCTATTTTGTAAGAACGCCAAAACATACAGCAAATTTCCTCACAATCTGTAGTCTGTTTAAAGCACTTTGGACTCAGGAAGCTAGACAATAATTATTGTTTCTCGTCTTAAAGAAGAATGGAATATACATAGTGGGAAGGGAAATTGATGTTATTCCAACAGTTTCAGTACCAGATCCATTTTCTGTTAAGTTATAAAATGAACATTATCTACATATCCGCTTGGTGTTTTTTTAACCATGGAACCATGAGTGGATATAAAACCACTTCCAAATATCTTCAATGTTTGTTGATACATCTAGGAATATTTCTTATCTTAGCATGCTCAGCTTCAGCTTAGATGGACAATGGTTTTCAGTCCGTCCCCCACCCCCACCAGAGAAGTTTTTGAATCATTGTTTTGTGAGAGATAATTATGTGTTTTTTAAATATAACCTTATTGCTCAATCATTCATTACATATGATGATTTTGAGAATTATGAATGGATTGTTCACTGACTTAGACAATATATGGGGTGATTATGCTGAAATATGGGAATCCTTTATTGAAGCTTCATATAGTACACACACACACATGTACACACACAATTTTCTTCTCTTTGTTCTCGTTGCTATAGCACTTTTCTGCACTGTTCCGGGTCTAAAGTGTTACATTAGTAGGCAAACTAAGCCTGGCTGAGAATGTTTATTGTTAAAAGGAAACAACTGTTGTCCGTTTTTATGTGGGTCTTCCGAATTTCATGTATATATTATCTTCTTGGGCTTGTCACAACCATTTATCTGCGCAGGTTAGGATAAATGAAATTCCTGTGTTGTGTCAATCTCCCTCCTCAGAGGCCTGAGCCTTCGATCAAAGCCAGAGCTGCTCCAGGTTCTAGAGCATCGGAACCGGCGCCGGGATGGGACAGAAAGTGGCTTGAAACCATCCCCCCTTGAGCAGGAGCTTCTGCGCTGGCAGCAGAGACGGGAACAGGTAAGGGCCAAGCCACCAAGATGGCCTCTCTCTACCATAGTTCTTGTCGGCAGTGACAGGAAATGCTTTGCAGGTGGACCCTTCAAGGATATCTGATGGGAGCATTCTTTCTTATCTGCAGCATCAACAGCAGGAAGCAACAGGAAATCCTGGTGGGAGCCAGCCAGAGTTCATAAAGGTCCGGGAGAAATTACGAAGGACTCAGCAGCAACGGGATCCCTCTCGCCAGCAGGCACCCCCTTCCTTGATATCTGTTCCTTTCCCACACCTTCATCACCCCAACAGAAAGCCCTCCCAGTTCCCAGTCAAGCACCCTCCTGTAGCCCCACAGGCTGCGGCTTCACTTCCTCAGAGTTCCCTCAAGGACTCTAGTTTTACCTCAGTCCCATCAAAAAATTCCCTTGCCAATAATACATGACTGCCTCCCACACGTGCCCCTTCTACCACGAATGCTTCATCAGGTGGTTAAATACACAACACCAAGCTGCAATGTGTTCATGTTGGGATAAGGGGCTTATTCAACAACCTTGGTTTAAAAATTTAGCTTAGCGTCACATGGGAATGCAGCTCCTTTCTCCTGTTCTTCCAGATTTGGGGAGGGATTCTCAGAAGGATGTGAATTTTGTCTCCACTCCCAAGTGTGA